AAAACTGCTGATAAAAACCAAGCGAGAAGAAATTCGACCTCCGACCAGATGTGGACACATTATCATTGACAAGCTAAGAAAATGTTAAAATGATGTGAATTAAATATGAAGCATCGCCTATGCACGAGATGAAGACCTGGTTTTGATCTCCAATCCTGCCAGAAAAGCCCTCAGCGTTGGTCGAATTAATGGAAAATCCATCTTGAAAAGCTGAAATTAGTGGTTAACATCCTAGGCAAGGACAAGGATATTTTTAAAACTTACGATGAAACTCCAGATTTGCCATGTATCCCTTAAGAAAAGCGAAAGCTGAAACTAACACATTGCATCTTGACGCTTTAAGATCAAAAAAATTACGCAAATAATCGTGCGGTAGCATCAAGCGCCATAACGTTTAGAAAAAAGTTCCAACTGTAACAAGAGGTCGCCAACATTTATTAGCAAAACAAAAATTAACCATGAAAAACAAACCGTAGATGTATTTGAAAAGCTGATACGAACTCAAACTGTGTCAAAAGGATTCGCTACTAAATAATTTCTTTGAAAAAATGTAAAACAAACAAAGCAAAATATTGTAAGTTGGAACGTTAACACAACAAAACATAAATAGATGGAGAGAATGGATCAAAATTCCGCTGCGCTCCCTGCGCATACCGATCACCTGCGTCGATCACGAGATCTGCTTCTAAAAGACCTTTTTATTGCGTCACTATTGAATATACTTGAAAATTACAAACCGCTTTCTATCTCTGGCCTTGTCGCGAGAACGACTTCGACTCTTCTTTCGATCTCTTGATCTGAATGAGTTGAAATTTGTGTATAACATATAGACAGGGCAATGAAGCCACATTTCGCATACCGGCTTCTCTTCCGATCTTTAGCTCGCTCCCTCTCCTTCGATCGGCTTCTTTTACGATCTGTATCCCTATGTCTATCCCTCTCCCTATCTCTGCCATGCTCTTTTGATTTCTCGTCATCCCTGTCTCTCGACCAGCTTCGTTTCCTGCTTCGTTCGCGATCGCTACGTTCTCTGGAACCACCTCATTGAATTTCTGGAAGTCAAGAAGTTTCTTAGATAATAGAAATTATTTTTATTATTTGAACATGAGTATCAATACGTCGAAAAAAGCAGTATGAGATAATACAAAAAGACCCTTCTGAAAAAAATAGGAAAGATTCACACTAATACGTCAACTGTACGCTTGGAGATCGTAAACAAAAGTGGAGCCCACTTTCCAAATATGTACTTTAATACTGCAAATAAAATCCAACATCTTTCTTTGAACC